CCTGGAATCGTGCAGATTGAAGGGTGATGTTTGCGTTGACTACTTTTCTTATCCACAGAAGCATCTGATGACACGTTGCTCTAATTTCCGATGACAAAGTTTCAGAGTCCAGTGTTACTACACGATTCTTCATCTCCCATCCTTGATCTTTTTGTTGACATAGTGCAGGGCATATTCATGTACAGACATAACAGATAGCGCAGACAAAGTGTTAGTGGAATTAGAATAAGTCATATTTTCACAGATGTGGAAAGGTTGGCCGAAGCTAAAGGTAAGGAGGAAGTATGATGTGATTAAAATACATTTATTCGAGGTAGCGATTGGATCGCATCTCATTTTAGTCTGTGGCAGTTGCTGAAGCAGCAGTAGTAAAATACATGTAAGTGGAAATACACCAGAGGAGGTAAGTTTCCTTACGTATGATTTGATCAAACATCTGACATAAAAGTGTAAGCGATCCATAAGATATGATTCTTAGATTATCAAAGGGGCAATGATCTTAACATCACTGAGATGTAACTGTTGAAATCCATCTTGAACATCACTTGGAAGAGAAGACGCATGCGATTGTTGGGATTAATGTGCCACATTTAAATTCAAAAGAATGATCTCAATAAACTAATACTGATGCAAATTTTAGAAGTATTAACATTTTGTATCGAAACATGTTTGTTCGTCGAGTCGAGAAAGAAAGCAAGTCAGGCATCTCAGAGCAGCCCCACGAGGATCCAGGTCTCTAAATCTGTTCATTAATCCCTCTCATGTATGACACATGATGTGTCCGCCAAAATTCCTCCACCAGCCCCCTATATTCTGTACCATGTCTTGCGACACATTCTTCTGAAACAGAAGTTGTTATTCAGACACTTTGTTTTTAGGTTACCTAGCACTGTGATGAAACTCTGTGAAAGACAAACACTCGCTGACGGTAGTACATGACTTGAATTGGGCGACTCAGGGCTGTTATTTTCAGTTTATATTTACGGGGTAGTTTCGGTGAGTCTGAGTGAAATACATGCCTGAGGAAATATAGACAATTATTCCGGTACCAGTTGTCATTCCAAGACTCATCGGGGCACATTCGAGGAATACAGCTTTAAAACACAATATAGCAACGTTATAACTTACAAATACTACATAAGTGATATATTTCGATAGCATTTCCCACAATAATGCCTGATTGTTTTTGTCACGTATGAAAATTCCATAGTGCGACACAACAGTCATTGAAAACGCATCCTCTATTCCACTTTACGCCCGTGGACGGAAAAGAGGCAGGGCCTTGCCTTTGTTTGTTGTACAAGGAAAACGTGCCTACTCGAAAGAAACTTATTTACTTGCGATTTTCAGGTCAAATTGAATGGTTTACGAAAGTGGCTAGTTTGAAAACATCCATCCTTATAATTCCACGTGTTTCAGTGTATGGTCTCTTCACAATGAATGTTACATCTTGTCCGCGTGTATTTGCATATAAACTGTGGCCGCCAGCCTGAATAAAGCCGGTATACTGGAGATTTGTAGGTTGGGTAAACTAGTAAGGTAAGAGGTGATAGACCACGTATTCACAACGATACAGTTTTTTCTGCGTACACTCAAACAATGTCGAGAAATTCGCTTAAGGAAAGGTTTCCATTCGTGGAAAAACTTGGAGAGGATATAGAGATAACAAATGAAATGAAGACCATGGTGCAAGTAAGTAGAAATATACCACAATGTACCTGACTCAATAATCCACTAGATTTGAGGTTACTTTATCGTGGGTAACCAGTCGTATAAATGAATTCTGTAGGTATTTAGGGACACTGGGTGATGCTACACCATATGTGGAACAACTGATCAGTTTGGGTGTGTGAAGAGGCCTGGGAGAAATGATTCTGATAAGGACATGTGTAAACCAACCTATTACGTTCCGTTAACATTTGGATAGAAAAGATAATTATATTTCGAGAAGAACGCAACTCCTTTCGAATATGGTCTTCCTTTATCCCCCTAGTCACCTTCACCTGTTACATTTTGTTGATGTCGTATCATGTTCCGATAGACGGGTTCTTATTACGAGTTTCTCTCTTGATCTTAATGTTATGTATACAGAAATACATTTTAAAACGTGCATATTTTCGTAACTCATGCTATATCTACCTAATTGCCCGCGTTGCTTTATACGTAATGACTATGATTTTCGAGTACACCACAACATTTTGTTGTGCCTATCTTGTGTACTGTATTGATTTTAAAATCATTTTTTTCCTGAACATAACACTTTTTTTTATTACTTGTGCCTACTGAATAAAATTAAGGTAGAGAGATAATTAGAATATTTACAATTAGACAGTTGAGGATTATGGTGTTATCATCCTATTTCCTTTCTCGGAGTTTTTGAGGATTGCGAGAGGTAGTCGGTTGTAATATCTGTATCCTGTTATTTAAGGTTTCGTGTGTTAAATGAACTATCAACATTTCTCCTCAGAGACTGACACTTAGTTTTGATTTGACTGAGTGATACATAATGATTCTAGATACATTATATGTCGCTAATGTCCTTGTTGAAAAACAACACTGCTTTCAATAACGAAGTGTCTCTGTACGTGTGTTATTTTCTTAACGTGGGCGAAAACCCAATCCCTTGTACATTGACTTGCATTACGCCTGCCGCTGAGATGGCCTTCCTGCACCTGTTGACACAAGTAGTAGACCATATTCACGGTCTTAATCACCGCTCTGTCGGATATCTGTATCTTCGACCATACGTGGATAAAAGGGGAATGTGTGTGGATCTCGCCCACTTAGTAAATACGGGAGGTCCAGAAGGCGTATAATGACCAATACCCGCCCGTAGACAACACAGGATTGCCGCCCATTCGCATTGCAGTCCAACTACCCTTCACCAGTGACCGTATTAGTTAGCCATTGTGTGTATGCACACGGTATTATGAACTTCTTTGGTGATATCAGTTAGAAAATGGATATAGAATCTATCGGCAGGTCTATAATGGTCTCACGTCTCACCGTATGACACAACCACCAGTGTCAGCCATCAGCAGTGTTCCTCAACATACCACAGCTACCGATATCAATGATAAACGGTGTTCCTTCACATAGCACAGTTAACAAAATCCATATGATGGAACACCACATCATTCTGATACTGGTTGGCGTGAACACTTAATTTAGATACAGGTAGATGTGTCATATGATGGAACACCACGTAATTCTGATACCGGTAGGTGTGTGATATGATAGAACACCACGTCATTCTGATACTGGTAGGTGTGTGATATGATGGAACACCACGTCATTCTGATACTGGTAGGCGCGTCATATGATGGAACATCACGTATGTCTTACACTGGTAGGCGTGACCTTGTAATTCTAAATGTGGAAGGTGTGTCATATAATGGAACACCACGTAACTTAGATACTAGTAGGTGTGTCATATAATGGAACACCACATAATTCAGATACTGGTAGGTGTGTCATATGATGGAACACCACGTCATTCTGATACTGGGGGGTGTGTGATATTATGGAACACCACGTCATTCTAATACTGGTAGGTGTGTGATATGATGGAACACCGCGTAATTTAGATACTAGTACTAGTAGGTCTGCTATATGGTGGAACACCGCGTAATTTAGATACTAGTAATAGTAGGTCTGCCATATGGTGGAACACCGCGTAATTTAGATACTAGTACTAGCAGGTCTGCCATATGGTGGAACACCATGTAATTCTGATAGGCGTGAACACCTAATTTAGATACTGGTAGGTGTGTGATATGATGGAACATCACGTCATTCTGATAATTGTAGGCTTGGTCACCTAATTTAGATACTGGTAGGTGTGTCATGTAATGGAGCACCACGCTATTCTGATACTGGTTGCTGGTTCGTATGGTCGAACACCATGTAAAACTGTTATTGAAAGCCGCTGTATAGAAACAAAGCACTATCAAAGATAGATTATTGGAGCAGAATATTTGTGCTTCCTTGTGTCTGGAATCGTTTCAGTGTTTTTTAAAGAAATATATTGTGATATCTGAGCCTGTGAAAAGAATAGGGACTAGTTCTGAATGAGGTAAGTTGAGATATCCTTCACCAAGAAGGTTGCCGCATATAAATATATATCTAGACAGCAATGCAAATAACCACCTAACTTAGTGTCTAATGTCGACTTAGAAATATGTCTTATCAAGTGTGCCATTTACCATGTAAAACTAAATTCCTAATTAGGAAGGAGTCTCCGTCCTGTTTATATAGATGCGCATTAGTTACATACACACTACTGTTTGCTGAATTCCTTTATCGCAGCCTGTAAACTCGCTCATCGCCTTATCTCTCATCTCCGTCACATGGTTTATCCCTCTCGTGTATTTCCCTCATATGGATTCCTCCTCCCGTGGAGCTACATTTCACCGCTCCTTTCCGACACTTTGTATGAGCAACATCTGACGTTTTTCCGTTGTTGTATATAGTGTTTGCTCTGAAGGTAAACACCCCTTCATCTCTGTCAGGTCTGGAACTCTAGCTTCCAGTTCCATTTGAAGGACAATATTCACCTCCAAATGTCATGTTGGATGTCAATGTATGCATTTGAATATATCACTTCTGCAGCTATGTTCCTAAATGTATATTTCCACATACAATGAACATAGAAGACAGGCTCAGGCAAGCCTATGGGAATGTGAGTAAAGTGAAATATTACTCCTCATCTCTGCCATGTTATTGTATAAATAGGCGGAGGCTGCTTCATGACTCAACCTAATGAGATTAAACTGCATATACAAAAGTCTTAGCCATACGTGGCGTGGCTTTACGGGCACAATATCAATTAATATTTCATTCCTGAATGTTGGCATTCGATCTGAAAAGTTTTAGCACAGATCTGTACAGAATTCAGCGGTAGTTGTTTATAGCGGTAGGTAATTGTATACTTGAGCCATGGAGGATGCTTCACTGTGTCAGCTATCACTTATTAATAATATTGTTCCTACACCTTTTAGATGGAACTATCTAAGACCGACCCAGTTCCAAATGGCTTCGTAGTTGACCGACCAGTGGCACTGCCAGAAAATCTCGGGGATAAAGAGGAACTTGTCAGCGCGGACCGAGAAACGTTTCCGGGAGGGCTTGACAATCCTGGTTTTAATGCCACTATAGAGGGGGGAGGTAACCAGCAAGAGGGTGCCAGCAGTGACACGAGTAGCGACAACATCAAGTTCAGAAACACTGACAAAGATGATGTTAACCAGAACGAGAACAACGAGTCAGTTCTGCGACGCTCAGTGCCAGGAAGAAGTGGGAAAAGAGATAGCTGTGCCAGGTGAGACTAGCGAACCGCGACTGTGGAACACCTTCCTTTACTGATTGCGTTCTTAATCATGTGCCGTTAATATAAACGTTTCGTGCAACAAATTTCGATTCCTGAAGAATCTCGGCGATCGTTGTTTGCCTTTTCATATAGCAAATATAAATATTTTGAAAGCAAACGTCACCAACAAATATTCCATTTGCATTTTGAGAAAACCTCATTTTAAGAAATATGTGTACACCGACAATATGGCTTGTTTTCGCTCTTGGGTGGACAGTAACTACCATGTGTCTTCCATGTGAGATTTACATTTACATATATTTTCAAGTGTTTCTAAGCAAGAACCTGACGTTTATTTTTGGACACATTAAAACAGAACATATAATACTAAATAAAACATAAAATACAAAAAGAAAAGTAAACACCCGTGTCTGTTGACGGCTAAAAATGAAACTGTGATATATTTGATACGGTCAGCATAGTTGTGTTTTGGACTAATAGTGACTTCGGTGACCAAGTTTAACCTAGAAGCCTGTTCAAAACATTATCTAATATTTCGATTACACCCAATGTTCATGCATATGCGTGTATTTATCCACATTACCCCTCATCAAAATGGAATTACAGTTGGATCATGACATTGATTACTATCACTCTGAATTATGGAATGAGTGACTTCGGGTTTTGCACAGCATGTAGCACTATTTCGGCATCAGATTCAGGGTTTGACGCATTTTACCCATGTGTGGAATCGAACACGGGACATTGATGTGACGAACGAGAACTCTTTAAACTAATAGGTTACCTAACCACACTGGCAAAACGGATCACGCAAATGTCTTAATATTAATCATCAGTTTATATGTATATTGGGACGTGGGTACATTTCTGTCTAAATGTGTTTCAGTCTTGATAGTATGGACCGGAAGGCACCTTGGCGAACATGGGATGTGTTTCGGATAATATCTCGAGAGAAGGACACGTCACTGGATGACGCTACTGTTAACAAGCTGAGGAAAGGTGTCAAAGTTGGAGTGGGGATGTTTTTGTCTGTCTGTGTCCTCGTGTTGACCGTTATCAGCAAAAGTACCCTTCTTCTCATTACATCAAACATTTACGTGAACGTCACGCTGTATTGTGAGACATACGACGATGAGCATTTCACTTTCTGTGCAAGAGCTCCCCCAGACAGGATGAATGGTACAGTATTCAGACCATCTCAGAACGTGGAGATACGCTGGCTGTGGGCACTCCTAATTGTCATCATAGCACCATATATATTCACTTTCATCAAGTGTTCTTGGAGGGCATGTTTCAAAAGCACACGAAATCCAACATGCAAAATTACACTTACAGTAAGTACAGTAATATCACCTTGTGTCCTCAAAAACTTGTTATTATCGACAACGATATCTTTTCACAGAGAAAACCTTTCAGATAATATCAAGATTATTCATTAGTATTCATAGGCTTAGAAGGTACGTAAAGATCAAGCAAAAACGTTTTGAAAGATTGTTTTTTCATACAATACACTTTTCCTACTTAGGTGATAATTCCTGAGACTCTCCACACGGCTGGAGTCTGTATTTTCTCCTTCCAAGTGCTTCCATCACTTGATGCGATCCGAGGGATGGTACTCATGATGGGTGTTGCTTTCCTACCAGCTGTACTTAAGCTTTTTGATGGTCAAGAACCAGGAGGTCGCAAGTTCCACGTTATTCTGATAGATTTCCTGTGTGTAATCGTGCAACTCTCTGTGCTCCTTTTGTGGCCACTGAGGAACTATTTTTTCTCTGATACATTTTACCATGAAACATGGGCTATTCCGACATCTCTGTTCTTGGTTTCCTTTGGATGGTGGGAAAATTATGTGAACACCTATAACAGATTGGGAGCTCTTGGAAACAAACTCAGAAGTTTGAAACGAGGCATTCGACGTCAAAGAACTAAGTTGTACTTAATTGTCAGTGTTTGGAAGATTATACTCACGCTGAGTGTAATGACAGTCATAATGAGCGACCTCAATATTTCATGTGTGAAGGCTCTTTACTATTTGGGACACGATGGCGCACATGAATGTCCGCATCTGGTAAACCCATATGGAATAGTGAACGTAGAGGCTGTTGAATATTTTCAGAGTCCCTTCTGGGTGATGCTCGTGCAGATTGGATGTTGTCTGCTCTGCTATACGTTTGCCAAGACCTCTTGCAAAATCCTCCTGCAGATTGGGGGCTTTGCAATTCCTCTTGTCCTTTCAATGCCTATCCTGGTAGGGACTCTCATAGCAGACTGCGAGACATGGAAATCAGACACCACTGGTTCTTGGATAACTGCCCTGCCTTCAGAGATGTTCTGGACATGTGACATCCATGGACTCTCTGTAAACTACCTATCGAAACTGACAACCGATTACTGGCTTCCCGTAGCTGTAGCCTGGTGGTTCTCCTTCATCTGGATCACACTGCATATCTGGTTTCCTCGGGTGGAGCGGCTTGTACAGACAGAAAGGTAGGTTTAAGTCATCTATGGTTCTGACATAATAACACAAACAAGTAATTATGCTGTATACTTTCAATACAGTTTCATCTATATGTTCTAAGTTGATAGTGATTATCCACTCTCTCATCGGTTGAAAAGGATTTATTCCCTTCGTCACTTTTCATTCTTCCTGTTGATGGAAGTACGGTCCACTGTATGCTTACATCTGTTGGGTTTCCAGGTTATTCATACAGCCACTGTACTGCGGTCTCTTCCTGGAGCAGTCCCTCATCCTCAACAGGCGGAGAGATGACAAAGACCGAGAACAAAAGAATATTAAGAAGGAGGTATGCTTCGATGGGTTTTTTAACACACACTATCAAACACCAACATATGTTACTTTTTTCTAACTACCAGTTTTTTCGGTTAATGATCAATTTCTTCCACACAGGGCGGCCTTCATATCTTCCAGTCTGTAGATGGGGAAGAAACTGGAAACCCTCTGCAGACACGCGGTTCTCTCCGTACTGATGTGACACCCATGATCTACTTATGTGCAACTATGTGGCACGAGACAGAGCAGGAAATGGTACAGATGTTAACATCCGTCTTCAGGTGTGTATAGCGTCCGGCGGATACTTCTGTATCAAGCACGGTTTGGCATGATATTACAACAAATCACATGTTATTCGTAATGCATAATATTCATCTGAATATCTGAATATTTCTTTGATATGTTATCGTTCTTGTGCCATGGTTTCAGATTGGACCTGGACCAATGTACAAGGAAACATGCATATATTTTTTTCGACGTTTATGATCCAGATTATTATGAGTTTGAAGGTACGTGATACTATATTGGCACATTGTGTAATGAAAGCAGCATCAGTCACACTTAATGTGTGTCTGTGTTCACAGCCAACAGTTTTCATGAATGATACCAGTATTGGGCTGGTCGTAAGATCCCATTTAAAGATCAATTTAAAACAATACCCACACAATTTGTACTCGTTTCTCTGGTAGGATATCATTGTGCTGTGTGCACGTTCTAGTTTATGAAAGCTGTCTGTCACAATAAATAATAATATGCTGGCCACATAAAGAAACTGTAAAGAAAAATAAAGAAAATATAAAGATATTCAGACAGTGTCTTCATACATAAATAAAGGTGTGAACATAGCAAGTATTGGAGACAATCAAACGCTCATGCAGGTGCCAGGCGAAGTGACGTCATTGATGGTGGCCTATGGACTTGTAATGTGTTACTGCACGTGCAGCCTGTGCAGCTGCACACAACATGTGAAACTCAGAAATTGATGTCACTGTCGCAAGCTTGATCTTTGGTCATTCAAACGTTCACAAATTCACATGAGAAATCACATGCACAACATAACAAGATTAACATCTGCTCAAAGTCATGAGTCATGAAGCCATTGAAATGATTCGAGCAGGCATGAGCCAACAACAGGTGACAGCAGATTTCCAATGCCATCGTAACACGATATCTGCATTGGTCAGGCGTTATGGAAACAGTAATGACGTCGCCGACCACCCACGTTCTGGGCGTCCCCGAGTAACGACGCAAAGACAGGACAGATGGATTCGGGAGACTCATCTCAGACACAGGTTCCAGACGGCAGTGACCACGTCCCAAACCATTCCCCAAGCCTTCAATGTTCATTTGGTAGCATCTATGCGTCGTCGATGCACTGCTGTGTTTCACGCGCATGATGGTCATACCCGTTATTGACTGTGATTTCGACGTGTGACCCCCTACTCAATTTTGAACTTCTGACGTCATCGTTACGGATGTTGTTCATGTTCTTTTGAAATGTTGTTGTGGCCCGATACTTCAGCTTATCAAGTGTCTACATCCTTTCGTCTTTTTTGTGTTGTATTCCAGTTCTGAAGGAACAGTTTCTTTATGTGGCTAGTATACTTAAAACATACTGTTGCGACGATAACGCCATTAAAGTTATTGGTTGATTTCAGCCCACATTTTCTTTGACGATGCGTTTGAAGCTCACGAAGATGATGAATACGAATTTCACGTCAACAACTTCGTGAAGAGTCTAGTGAACATTATCAGTACTGCAGCAAGGTTAGTTTTCTTCTTCACCCTTCCTTTATCATATCTTTACGTAAAAAGTAACCGTGGTTCATATCAATTGTAATACAAATAATAAGGTGTCGGCTTAATGCGACAGTTGGCTAACCAGTGTCTTATGGTAAAAGTATGGAGTATAACAGGTTGTATTTTGAACTGATTCGCGAATCTGTTTGTACCTGATGAACCTTTGCAAGTTCAGGTTCTAAGCATTGATATCTTACACCAGCAACGTTCATAAAGCTCAAGTTAAAATGGACCCACCCACTAAATACCCAACGCCATACGGAGGAAGACTTGAGTGGACACTACCAGGACAAAACAAGCTGCTCATACACATGAAGGACAAAGCGAAAATACGTCACAAGAAGCGATGGAGTCAGGTAACAGTATTAAAGAAACTTAAGGTATCATGCATTATATGTATCTGTGAATGAATTCAATATATTTTGAGGATTCTTTTCGATATCTTCATAAAAACGGCGGGTATCACGAAATATAGATGTTAATTCCAAGCACAACTACACTGTGCACGAACGTTGATATAACAACTGCCCAGGACCAGTAACTTCCCACTCGCAATCGCCAACACGTTACAATGCTCAACGGCCATATGTTGTACCGCCGCTTACAAATCGTCGTATTGCCAACAGACGACAATGGTGTACACAACGTTGTTCGTCGAAGCTGTGGTAATCATCGCTAGTCACGTGCCAAGGTTTTACAAGTTTTGGTGAAGGGTGTCATGACGGAGCGAACCACACTCCATGTTGTGCAAGATCGTGTGACTGGACAGTTCTGCCGAGCCAGCTTACTCACACCCATTGTTGGCCCGTTTGCAAGGCGTGTGGGTTGACGCCTTTTCTCACCATCGTTGCACAATCAATCCTCACCTCCAGAATCAGAACATCCATAGAATACTATGGCTATCTGTCTGAATTTGGCCAGGTGCTGCTCGGGGACAGATTCCCGCAAACTGCTCTTGGGAGGCCCACAAGACGTATGCCTCAGTTAGTGAAAACATGTTTGACTAAACGGGGCCCTAATTACACATTAATTGCTGATTCAAAAACGTCAACTTCACATTATATCTTCCGTTAAGATTACAAGCGGTTATAGCATCAATTGTCATTTTTCACTACAAGTTGTAATGTGTTTCGCAATAGCATATTAGTATTCTACAAATATCTCTTACAATTTTGGACATTTTACTGTTATACCGAGTATCCCTTACTTTATTTGTGGCGCATGTAATAAGATAAATTCCAAGACCTATATTGGTGCGCAGACCTCATGCCACGATGCGTACAATTAGAAGGTTGTTCTGTTCAAGGTGATGTACATGTACTACTTACTTGGCCATCGACTGGTGGGGCAACCACTACCAGATGTTCGTAGGAAACAGACAATCGCGGACAACACGTTCATTTTGGCCCTTGATGGAGACGTCGACTTCAAACCCTCTGCTGTGCAGCTCCTGGTGGACCGAATGAAAAAGAACGAAAAAGTGGGAGCAGCATGTGGTCGCATCCATCCAATTGGAACTGGTCAGAACCGTTCTTTCTCACCACGTACTGTACAAAGACTGACTTACATTAATATGTTTGCAGTAAACAAAACTTATGTACGGTATTCACTCTCTAGGTATATACGGATATATATGAGAAGGTGGGCCCACTTTCTGTATAAATGGGGGTATATGAATCAGTGGTCCCACTTACGGCATATGTTGCTAAAAGTGAAAATATGGTCCAACTCTTGGCATATACATCTTCGTGAATTCATTGTTACATGCTGCACATATAATGCCAGTATGATCCAGCGGCTATGCTTTCGGTACATGCAGGTAAAATGATTCTATGGTCACACTCTTGACATACTCAAGAACGATAGATTCAGTGATCAATCTCTTTCGTTTGAACATGTTTATAGATTTATTATGCATTGTTGGATGTAGGAGGTTTGTGAAGCTTGACCAATGATCAATGCTTTGAGTCAATGTGGACTGATATAACAAACAAGTGAAATTGCTCACAATATACATGATAGCTATTCAGCGCTGGGAATGTATTAATGAAGATAGGTCTTATTCCTATTTAAAGTTTGACAATATATTAATATTTCACATTAACATCATTAAAGATACGTCATGAAGATCGTTACACATGCACAGTAAACTCATCTCGATGGAATATGTCAAAATTACAAGCTAGAAATAATTGTTACTGCGTAAAATGATGAGCTGAACTAAGATTTCCCGACATCTTATAGGTCCTATGGTGTGGTACCAGAAGTTTGAGTACGCCGTAAGCCATTGGTTACAGAAGGCAACAGAGCATATGACAGGGTGCGTCCTGTGTAGCCCTGGATGTTTCAGCTTGTTCCGGGCCTCAGCTTTGATGGACGACAACATGATGAGAAAGTACACTACCTTGGCGAGCGAAGCGAGACACTACGTCCAATATGATCAAGGCAAGACCTGTCTAGAATACTGATTATGCCGCAAGAAAATTATACTTAAAGAACGAAAAAGAGTAATGTTTGTCTGAGATGTCTTACAAAGCTTATAAGTATATATACAATCCGAATATTGATTAATACGAAGGTTACTATACCTGGATAAATCAGGGGGTATACTCTTTCATCCCGACTGTAGGCGAGGACCGATGGCTGTGTACACTGCTACTCCAACAAGGCTACAGAGTGGAGTACTGTGCAGCCGCAGATGCTTTGACCTATGCCCCAGAAGGTTTCAAGGAGTTCTATAACCAGAGACGACGGTGGTCGCCTTCAACCATGGCTAACATCATGGATTTACTGTATGACTGGCGCAGTATCATCAAGGTCAATGAGAACGTATCTGTATTATACATGTTGTACCAACTGCTCTTGTTTGTGTCTTCGCTCCTTACCCCCGGCACGATCTTCCTCCTGATCGTGGGCGCTATCAACACGGCCTTTCCTGAACTCGACCTGCTGGATTCTCTTCTCTGCAATATGGTTCCAATAGGAATATTCCTACTTGTCTGTTTCTGCTGCAAGTCAAACATACAGGTAAAAAGGCTGAAGCATAACGAAAATGTTTGCGAATGAAAGAAAAGCATCTCCAAAAGTAAGGAAAACAATTAAAAGGGTTTTGAAATGCGTGCATAACACGTTAACGTTCTTGAATCGGTCATAACTAATGGCACTTTGTATGTTTCAGCTGAAAATTGCTGCAATCCTCTCAGGGATGTACGCCCTGGTAATGATGCTGGTGACTGTAGGATTAGCACTGGAGATGAAGAGGGAGGGAATCTGCGCCCCGACAACTATATTCATGATATTTGTAGTTGGGGTATTCATCATTTCAGCAATAATGCACCCCATGGAAATCACCTGCCTAGCGCATGGTGCTCTATATTTCATGGCAATTCCGAGTATGTCGATGCTATTGATGATCTACTCTATCTGCAACCTGCATGTGGTTTCCTGGGGCACAAGAGAGGTGATACAACCAACCCAAGCGGCCCAGGCCAAAAAGGAAAAGAAAAAGCTGAAATCTGGTCGTTTCCAGTCTATTATCAATCTCTTTAGCAATGATGATAAGGTACTAATAAACTATATTCGGACTTTGAAATCGAAAGAATATATACTCATGGAAACGAATAAGGGAACACATGAAAGTACAAGTGTTCCTTTATTTATTCCCAGAATTTCACCCACAGTGAAATACATACCTTGTGAAGAAACCTGGAAAAGAATAAAGGAACACTTGTACTTTCATGTGTTCCCTTTTTCGATTCCATGAGTATATATATGATGTATGAAGACGTTGCTTTCTAAGCCGGTCAAAATCAAACCAATGCAAGTACAACGTCAGGCTGTCAGTGGATTCAATTACTCTCATGGTTAACCAGTGAATATATAATGCGAAATGTTAGTTCCAGCTTAGGCGATGGGGTATTTCAACTGAAAGAACTGACTTTCCTTACATACTGAAATTCTATTTTATGATATTTATTTTTGTCTAATGTGTTGTTCGATAGTCTAGACGTTAAAGCAATGGTTAATTACGTCAAAACTCTGGTTTCATTACCTTACATAGGTACATTGCTTAAAGACTAGTTTTGTGTCCTCCATCCTGTTGCATATACAATTATCGTAAAACCCAGGCTGCTCAATCTAAAGTTTAATCCATTCTTAATGAAGCATTAAATCTACTTAAACACAATAAGGTTGCCTCAATATTAACTATATGAAACCTATTTAATTTACAGGTGGATAGTGATTATGGCTTCTCCTTTGGAAACCTATTCAAGTGCATCTGCTGTCCCCGGCCTCAGGTTGACAACACCGCCAGTAAATTTGGGGCCGTTCTTGACAAACTGGAGCAGCTTGAAACGTCAATACATAGCATTAAGAATGGCTTGGCCTCCAGTCCATTATCTCCGTCGATACAGGTCACAAACGAACAAGGCATTACCTACGACCTGGACACGCCGGCACCTTTTCTTCAGCAGGAGACATTGCAGAACAATCTCAATACCGAAGGCGTGATAAGACGTGAGTAATTACGGACGCCTTTATCCCTAAAATATGGCTACCCATTCAGTGAAACTCCCCAAACGGATACAATACAGAAACTGCCGCTTTATCTTAATACACTTCACAGTCTTCACGGATAAACAACATTATGACTTTTTATTATTCTAACTTCTTTTCTTGATAATCTTTTTGGCTGGCAAGATCAATCCAAACGTTAGGACGATTACGTTCCTTTGCGCGTTTGTATCTTGAAAATTCCCTTTGAACTTACGAGTACTTCTGTAACAACTTTATGACCACACTGTCGATGTCCAGTCGCTGCCTCTGTGGGGATAATTAGTAGAACATACAAAAACGGAGCAATAACCTGAGCGAGATCACATGACAAACAATTGTTTACAGTTTCATAAAATATAATTTTCATTGAGTCCCTATTTAATCAAATTTGTTGCTACAAAAACAAATTTTGAAATGTTGCAGATAATCCCTTGTATGAGAAGGAGATGCATATCCATAATGATGAGTACTCCCCATACTGGATTTCTGATCCAGACATTGGACATGGTCGGACTCGATACCTTGGTCAGGAAGAGATACGCTTCTGGAAAGATCTCATTGAAAGGTACCTTTACCCATTGCAGAGTACTGAAGAGCTCAAGCAGAAGATGCAACGAGACCTTATCCATTTGAGGAACAAAATGAGTCTAATGTTTTTCATTCTGAATGCCTTATTTGTTGTTATCATATTCGCTCTACAGTACACAAATGCCCAGAGTAACGGCAAAGGACTGGCGATACCACTTCCATGCAAGTCTGAAAGTGGTACTGCACTCACGATCGAACCGTTCTCCCTTATATTTATGGCGATATTCGGTATTGGTTTGCTCATCCAGTTCATTGCAATGTTCTTCCATCGCATGGGCACGTTCCTGCATATAATATCTTCTACAGAAGTAAACTGCATGAGGCTGAATCAGAAGGAAGTAGCTGCTATGGACATATCTGATAAGCTGGAATTAGTGAAATCAATGCAGAGTTATGGCGATGATGATGACACGAGATCAGTGACGTCAATAAGCTCAATGGATAGCTTGGATGATGACAGCAGCATGACAACCGATGACACTCCAAGACCCAGACGAAGGAAGACAGTGCTGCGAATTACAAAGAAAAGGCGAAAGCAGCAGCACAAAGCCGGAAATCTTGCACACACATTTATGGATAGGTATCTGAAGCTTGCTGATGATTTAAAAAATGAACGTGTTGAGAATATCTCGCACAAACGGGGAAGTTCCAAGAAGAGGAAGAAGTCTATCAGGAAGAGCCAAAGAGCTATAAAGAGTGTTGAGCAAAACAAAAGCGTTGTATTAAAAAAGGCTCAAAAGTGGAAGCATATTGCTGGGATAGTTCGTGGATCTGGAATGCACTCAACAATAAATGACCACCATCATAATGACCCTTGGCTGAGTGTTGTCAAGGGGGTCCTCGCGCAGTCTAGGGCCTCTTCGCATACCAGTTTAGACAAAGTAGAAGAGGAACGTCATGGCATCATACTCGGGAACAGAGGGAGGCGTCCCTACACAGATGGTTCCAAATGGAGCAAATTGAAGGACAGTCTTAGTGGACACCTTAGTGCTGTGGCTGAAAGCGACACATCTGCTAAGCCAGATAACCAATATGGTACTCATGAGAATGACGACACATCAAATGGTAACGTTGTGCGCGTGCAGATCGCAGTAGAGAACGGCACATCCAGGAGGTCAAGCAAATCCAGTCTGGACACCTCTTTTCATGATCACCATGAGGCTTCACTCCTGGACGAAGCAGTCGGAAACGCAAGCTTCGTTAACGAGGACAATGATAAAAAATTGACAGTGAACACCGGAATATACAGCATCGCTGATAATACAGATTCGGACACAGGATCTGTTGAATTTGAGAATAAAGGTAACAGTGAAAGCCCACCTCAAAGCCCAACTCATGCTACCACATCTGTGTGAGGTTTTCATTGTGGCACTGTTAGATGTTACTTTTGCAACCTACATATTAGTTCTGGTCGAGATTGTTTTTGCTGGCTTAGGTATGTTTTTCTGTTTATGTATTTAGCTCGTTGCTAAATAATCCCAGCAGTAATCCTCCACCAACGAAACTAATTGTCTACAAACCTGAAGATAATTATAATCCGCTTCTTAAAGCTAATCCACATGCTATTCAATACATACAACAAGTAACCTGCCCAATGGCAATATTTAGGATTTTGCAGCTATTCAAACAATACGACATCCCTGTCAATTCTGCGAAAGTTATGATCTCAATCACTCAGATAAGATTATGCTATAGGCGGGATTACTTCCAAGTGTGTCGTACGTTAGGATCAGGTTGACTACACTCTTCAAAAAAGAAAAAGAAACGCAAAAGCAATTTTTAGAAGAATTTAAGCAGTTATTTCATGTAATTTCAATGGTAAAAAGGTGAAAACCTTTATAGACAAAGAGTTCTCCAACACAACAGCAGCCTTTATTGTTGTGATTTTGTTTACTTGCGTCCACAAGATGGCGTCGAAGGCAATACTTTGGTATGACCACCATTGGCAGCAAATACTGCTCGGCACCGTCTCGACACGGACTGGATAAGTCGACGAAGACGCTCTTGCGGAATTTCCCCCGACTCTTCCTGCATTGCGATGGCCAATTGTGGAATTGTGTCTGAGGCGTGTTTTTACGTTGACTTACACGGCGATCGAGTTCACCCGATAGGTGTTCTATCGGGTTTAGATCTGGTAATCGGGAAGGTCAGGGCAAGACATTGACTTTAGAATTGGCAAGGTGGCGGACCGTGACGCGTGTCGTAGTGTTGCCATCCTCGAACAACTCCCTCTGTCGGTCGACCCGTGAAGATCCCGGTTAGAATTGATGTTTAGGAACCCATGCTTGTCGTAAGAGGCGACTAACGGGGTCAGGTGGTCAGGCTCACTAACTTGTTTGGCACATGTCATCGTATCCCAATTACGTAGATCGATGCCCATGCTGTTGGTCACTGGATTGTCTAGTCCAGACTCGATTATTTACAGACCGCTGCCACATAGCTGAAATATTGCTGAGTGCGGCGTTAAACAACCAACCAACTTACAAACAAACCCTCTGTCGGTCCAAACTCGGCAGCAAATGACGTGAAAGGACTTCGTTGATTTGCTGTCAAATTCGTGATTCATCATTGAACCAGACTCGCCTCCAGTTTCTAATGTCCCAGTTCCGGGCTCTACGACACCACCGCCAGCGATCGCGATTATGGAAGTCTCTGAAAACAGGGGGGGCAACAGGCCTTCTTGGTCGAATTCCCGCCTCACGCAATCGATTCCTGACAGTTTGGTCGGAAATTCTTCTCAAACCAGGGATGCGTTGTGTCAGTCTCCACTTCCATGTCAATGCGATGACGCAAGTGAACCACCCGGATGTAGCGGTCCTTGGCTTGGGTGGTAACTCTTGAACGGCCGCTTCGTACAAATCATTAATTCCCTTATTTTTCGACAAAAGTATTTTTTCTTAAATACACTTTCGTCTCCAAAGTGTCAGGTATACATTGGAATAAAACTCGCAGGAAGCTTGACATATTTTCTGGTTTCCTAACGTACAGATTGGACTTTGAAAGATAACATGTTTTTATCAAACGATGCTTCGATCTCAATTTGGTTTATAATGTCCTTTCAGAGTTCAAATTTGCATATATATCGAAACTATGTGTGAAATGTATTAAATGATAGTTTTTAAAGTATATGTGCTTTATGATCATTTCATTGTAGCTATGGTGTATTTATAATAAGTTATTTGTCAAAATGATTGGAGTTGGTGCTGGATCGCCCTCGAGAATTAATTGTTGATGTAGAGTTAAACTGTTCACTGTTATTATTTTCTTGCATATACCCCTAACCAACAGTCTTCCACCGGTGTTGTGAAAGAATTATACTATTTCATGTCAATACATTACATGTTCATGTTGACTTATAGTCATAAAGTATATTACCACAAGTTTTACACTGCGTGATAAAGAAATGGCAGATTGGCTTTGTACACATATGTTCAGCTGTATGTTATACTTCTATTACATTCGTTCAACGCTGTAGCTATATAATTTTCAATGGAGAGCTAACAATCTGATGTTCCTTGCTTAACCTATGTCCTCGTTCGTTTATGCTTCTGTGGGAAACACGATTTCAAATATATGTCACAAGTACTGTTTGCCATTTATCGGTTCAGATGTTTATTATGATGTACCCTGAAAATATACATAATAAAGACCCATCACGCTGAGTATTGTTGTTTACTTCCTGCAAACACAGCGTGGTGTGTGTGTGTGTGTGTGTGTGTGTGTGTGTGTGTGTGTGTGTGTGTGTGTGTGTGTGTGTGTGTGTGTGTGTGTGTGTGTGTGTGTGTGTGTGTGTGTGTGTGTGTGTGTGTGTGTGTGTGTGTGTGTGTGTGTGATAATTTTACTACACCAAACACCACCAGTACTGGAACCTGACCATATTTTTAAAGTTTATTGGTTTTTTAGCACAATGATTAATGCTGAATGTGTGCAGAGATATTTTTAAGTAGGCGACATTTGGTGCGGAACTGGGGTTGGTGTGTTCAACTTCCTTTACTCGGAAAAGGAATTGTTAACCTAGCTAAACTTTGTTAGTTTGTGACAGAATGTGTGACTCTAAGGCCATACTGTGCATATGTATACATTTAATTGCTATTAACGACCTGTTATTTTTAAGACAATATAACGTTACTATGAAAGTCTATGGGAAAACATTTGGTTTTGTGTATCCTGTAAGCTTGTTCCCGGCTCCCTGTGCAGGCTCCAAATTGCGTGTAGCATATAGCGAGACGGAGACCAGCTCAGAGCAGAATATTAGTTTCTGTGGTTCACACATGACGTTTTCTTTAAAGCAGGGAATAAGTAAAGGTACAGGGACTATTTTGGAGTTTTGCAGGATGCTCTTGTATGAAGCAATCTTTGCTTCTTCTTACAAGTAAAGTATGCTATGGCTCAGAAATATGGGGTACTTCTTATTGTAAAAGTATTGAATCAGTACAACTTGATTTTCGTAAAAAGTATCATAAAATAAATATGTCATCTTGTAATTCCATGGCCCTGGGTGATTGTGGCAGATTACCCCTGCCGCTTAATTATATGACCAGTGTAATCAAATATTGGTGAAGATTGTTACAACTTCCTTATGACAGATTACCCTTTCAAAGTTACCTTATGCTTAAGTCATCAGATGATAGCGGTAGAACAACATGGGCATCAAATGTTAAAAGTCTTCTTTTTAATTTTGGTTTTGGATATGTTTGGTTTGGATGTTTATGAGCTTATTTAAACAAAGATTATCAGATAATTTAAAACAGTCCTGGTAATCTTCCCTGAGTAATTCCTCCAAAACCAACTATTATCAGTATTTTAAATCAGTGTTAAATGTTGAATGTTATTTATCGTTTAACCTTTGTACCTATTTAAGAGGTGCTTTAGCGCAATTTAGGTGTAGTAATTGTAAGATATCTGTAGAAACTGGGAGTTATATCAACAATGACTACAATCACAGATTCTGTACATCCTCTAATTCTGAAGCTCTAGCCTATATTGAAGATGAATACCATAGAATATGCAAGCCTAGTAAGAGCAGTTAAACAATATTTGAAAACGTACAACATACCAATTAGAGAAAAACTTGAATTACCATTTATTCCTTATCACATTCAAGACATCTTTAGAAATAACAAAGGTTGTAAGACATATTACGATATACTTATTCCAGTTTTAGACTCTGCTATATATATAGCTATAAAAAGAAATGGAACGATGAACTTGAAACAGATATAAGTGAAAAAGAATGGAAATCCTATCAAAAGATTATATTTCGAGTTCATACAAATTCAAACGCATGGTTTATATTTGGTTGTCATTTGATGTCATGATTTTGTACCTACAATAAGATGAATAAAAAAGAAAAGAAGATGAATACCGTGTACTGTTCATTTGTGAATCCTATTCACAACTAAGAGAGAGGTATATTACAAAATTTGTTAAAAAGACTTACACTGTATATTCTTTAGCAAATCTTTTCAACAATACAAATGTAGATACTGTAAAATATGTTGCCTTGCATTTATGTAATGTTGAAAGGATCATTATAACACACTTAAAAGATCAGTGTGGCCCTGGCGACACTGAAATTTCTTTTTGAATGTATTTTGGGTTTACGTCCTTTTACTGGAAATAAACTCTGTTTCTGTCTGTCTCACAAGAAATGGTGTGTGTTTCCAACTCCCTGCAATATCCACGCATAGCTAAACCCAAATCTGAATAGAACTGTTTTCACACGTGAAGGCTAATGAAACCTATTACACTGGGCGCTCGCGTTAAATCTAGATTACATAACATTTTGTAGGCTTTTGATGGGTAGTGTGAAGAGGGCATGGAGAGGAACTTTGTGTGTGTGGGTGTGTACACATGAATAGGTAGACTAAAATCTAGTCTCTGAAATGAACATATTTTACAGAATAGACACTCCATAAAAATAGCCATAAAATATAATGAAAAGGAGCCCAGAGAGTTTCTTCATTTTCAAAAACTGTGGAAAGCTAGACTTGACACATATTCTAGATTTGCATGGGCTTTCTTGGATATATTTGTTTCAGGGTCTGTGTGACAGACTAATGAATAGGATATCTACTTGGTTCCCCAAGGACAGCTGTATTTGGTGTAGACATTAGCAAACCAAGGAATCGTTTACATGCATAAAGTAATACCCTTTCCAAGCAACCGTGTTTATGAAAGCTCGGTAATTCTGACACCTATAACAATGTAGGCAATATCGTACCTTCGAATATTTTAAAGTAAACATCAAATGCAAATCTTTAAAGCTTCAAAGTCATTTTAAATAGATATTAAAGCATTCTTGGCCTTAGTTGAAATGTTTTATGGCAGTAAAGGACCAATTTAGAGTTTGTCC